GAGGGACCAAAGTAACGAAAAGGAGTACACACAGTGAAAATTGTACGTATCCCAGGCAGGGCCCCGAAGGGTAACTGCGGCAAAATCGGATTCCTGGCGCGGTCGACCCGATTCTGCAGCCGAATCTAAAGCATCAGAGGCGAGGGAATGCAAAATCTTGCGGTTAACCTGAATTTACACGGGCACACAGACCAAACTAAGATCGTGAACTAACCTAGACCCAGACTAACGCGAAAAACCGGTTGAAACTTGTCCAAAGCAGTGCAAGATTGCTCTAAATGAATCATAGCAATGATTCCTAATAGCGTAGCCAGCTCTAACGTGAAAATCTCTCTAATCAGGTCCCTCTAAAATCTGTGTAGACTTCGATATCATGGAAATTCTTGGTGTTGCGGAGTCAGGATAGTCTTGAGGATAACTGAAAGGAACAGTGGAATTAGTAAGGAACTCTCGTCAAGGTTGAAATTTCAATTTAAGGATTAATTAAAACCTTACCCAATATACCAATTTTATATATTCCAAAACTGAGGTTATCAACATATGGTAAAACAGAGTTGCGTACAAATTCGAACGTTCTTCAGAGATATTTTTCTTTTTTTCAATCCAGAGGAGATAGGATTAAGAGGCCAAATGTGAGTTCGTCAGTGAAACGAATGGAATAATGCCCCGGCTGGGATAATAATACCCATATATCCAGGCCTCGCGTATGCGAAAGGAATTGGGTCAATGCGAAGGGAACAGCACAGAGTCCAGAACGCCATTTTGCTGAAAAAAAAATTCTTCACGCATTTCCAGGTCAACAATAAGCCTTTCTAACGAGACACTAGTGTACAATTCCATCCTGACTATATCCACTATCGCTGACCACTCTACTCTTTCGTTTCAATTCTTCACCGTTTGAAACCTAATCTTCTAGAATGCAGTTTTCGTTCTTTTCTTTCGCACCAGTTGGTGAGAAAAGATGCTAAACAACACTTGTCCACTGTTTTACCATAGATGGTTATAGCAGCGTATGTATGGAATAATAACGTCTGGCGGAGATAAGAAGGCAAAATTAGGGCAGAAATCGAAGATGAAGCACCGGTTTAGGCACGTATCCAACATAAACGTAATAACATGTATCTCGTGTAGAGAGATATCAAGAAAGCGTATTTATATTGTCCCACATACTCGTACGTCACAATTGAATAAACAAATTTTTTCAGCCTCATCTTCGTTACAACGTTGTTTTTCTAGTCACAACATACGTGTATACGAAAAGAAAATGTTCTTTTACGATGAAAATATGGCTTAATAAATGAAAAAAGAAGCCGCCGAATTTTATCCAACAGTTTATTACAGAAAAATTTTTTTAAACGTGCCCGATTTTCCGCGCCGATTAACGACCGGTAACTGTGACGCGGGGTTTTCATATTTCGAGGTATTTGCCGTTTTTTCTTTCTTTTTTTATTTCGTT